TTGGCACTACAGCTCGGGGCCTAAGCCTTACTCCTAACCTACTGAACACACCCCAACCGCCTGCCAGCCAGCCAACAACAACCACCACCGCAACAAACGCACCACATGCACCACACTAAGGCTACGCACCACCTACTGCCTTCGGCCCACGCGGCGCTAGGTCAGCCGCCCTACCATCTACACCACTAAGCCTACATTCGCTACGCGGCGCTGGGTCAGCCGCCCTTTCACCTAATCTTACCCTACACGCCTGGCTATCCTAACGCAAAATCTCAATCTGTTCTGAGACTCGGATACAAATCGGAAAAGACACAGATACAACATGATACAACCGGAAGGCGATGAAACCTAAAGCATAATGCAAGACATCCTGAACCCTAAGTTTTTCTGCTATGGACCCCTGATCCCAGCACAAACTCCCGATGTGCGGCAAGCGGCGTAACACGGCCGTGCTCGCTCTCGGGCGTTGTCTTCCAGCTGCAAGCACCACACGAAACCCTTTGCAGGCAGATAAAATTCAGCGCGTTTCTTTACGGGTGGCTCATCAGCTGCGGAAGACAGAGCCAACTGCGAGTGTGAATCCATTCTTCATTCACACGGCAAGCGATGCCACAACGTGGCAAGTACAGCTACAGTCTAAGCTTGTCACCCTGTTCAGTTTAGCCTCGAATCCACAAGTATGTATTGGCGGTTGTGGAAACACTAGTTGTAGTAGCTAGCCGAAATCGCAGTCGTAGGAATAGCAGCAGTAACGACACAAGGGTTCGTGGCATTTTTGCGGCTGTAGTGGGGTACCATGAACAGCACAACGACTGCTACCGCTACAGTTCCAGAGCCGCGAGCGCCTGCGACCGAGACGTCATTTGCTTCGACTCGTCCTTTACGAAATTCTGGAATCAGCCCTCCCTCGCCTTTGCTGTCACAAAAAAGTGATCTCGGAAACTAGACCCACCAAATGATCATCATGATGTTCCCTTCAAGCCTTAAATTTCCCTTAACGTAGGCTCGCGCACTCCTATAGCACAGACTGGCTCCAATTCATCTCCCAGGTCTACCACGTCCACACGGTGCAGGACTCAACAGCACTCACTATCTGTAAAAGCAAACCTCCTGCTCAATACAAAATGCTCACAGGGGCCACCACGAAAACCGCGACCTTCCGAACACCCCACAGTCTCAGCACGAGGCCTTCAGCAAACACGTCACGGCACAGCTCTCACACAGACACAACAACTGACAGACTACTCATAGCCACCACCACAATATGTCACAATTACCATTGCAGAGCCACGTGAGGAGCCGGCCAAAAGCTCCAGCAGCAAGCACCACCATCCAGGAGCATATCCCATCAGAAGATTCGATCCCAAAACACCCCTAAATCTCAGAGCACACCTGGCGCCTGATACAGCGCGACCTTGAAAGCCAACTCCACAAGGACATCCGAAAACAAACCGTGCAAACAAAACACTGGCTGTAAGGGCCGCCAGATTAATTGTGGACTTTGTATCGGACCGGTTGTGTACGGTTTTCCTTGGTGTGCTCCTTTACCTACTGATACTGCCACTACCTACTGAAACTATGGCACATTGTACAACATGGCCCGTACCATGAAGGAAACCTCATGTATTGCCTTAGCAGCACTTAAGGATCTTAGCGGGTTTCGTGGTTTCAGTTCCGACAGTCAAGGGTCTGGGAAAGGCTCCGGCAACTTACAGATCCAATGACACCTGCTGCTATTGCTAATATATTTGAACTTCCGCTTTGCCCCGCCTCCCGCTTGCTTTCCTTGCTTCTGCTTGTCTGATTGTAAACCAAACCGAAACTGATTAAAACACCAACCGCCCCGACAACAAAAAACACATACACACACACACACACACACACACACAAAATACCACCACTGGCTGAAAGAAGCCGCTCTGAGCGGCACTATTGCGTGCAGAAGTGAAGCTTCAGCAAGGTCAGTCGGTGGATGACTTAGATGATCCACTGGGCTCAGGTACACAAGAAAGCTTGATTTCCGGCGGGGCACAGGTTACGGTGATAGCCATCGATCAAGCGAAGTCGCTCTTCGCGGTGAAGAAGCCTAATAAAGATGAGTTCATTGACTGGGTGCGGCCAAGTTGCACCATAGGCAGGATGATGAGAGTCGAGCGGCTCAATCGGTGTCGAAGTACTACCAGCGGCTCCGTGTGCCATGAATGCATGCTCGGTAGCAGGAGCATTTGCAGTGGACTCCAAAACCACAGCCGGGACCACGGCCATGATGGCACCACTGGCTACTCCCCTCAACGGCTGCGATGCGGCGCCGAGGCATGCTGGAGTGGACTGGGATGGACTGGGTTAAACACCGGATGAGCAGTGCCACACCAGAGCTGTGGAATTGAGCAGACAGCAGTGGCCGATCGGCGAAGCTTTCGAGAAAGCTTACCAGGAGCAGGAGCTGATGTGGCTTGAGCCCGGAACCCTGAAGCGCAATGAGCAGGAGAGCGCAATGAGCGCACCACCACCGGACGCACAAGAGCAAAGAAAGCGAGGACATGTCGCGAGTACAGAGGCAAAGCCTTCTGCGAGAGATGGAACGATAATCGGGGTTGTTCCAAAACAGACTGCCCGGATTGCTATGGCTGTGACGTGCTGTTGGCCAACAACAAGGGTTGCGCCTGCAAGGATCACATTCGCATGTAACGCACTCATCGCTAGGACGATGGAAGACTCCCTGACGAGGATGAGACAGTTTGGGGTGAGGGTGAGGCCGGGGTACCATGTTCGTGGATGCTGAGATCAGGCCTTGTGAACACAGTGCAGTGTGCTGTAGTCCTGCCCCGGTTGATCAACCCAGCAGCGTGGATGAGGCGCGGCCGAGCCGCGCTGTTGAGCTGCAAGGTGCTAGGTTAATTCCTCATAGGGACGTTTGCCTAGTTCAACCGAACGCTGAGGCAGCAGAGAGAGAAGGGCCCAAACACAGTGTTTCGCGATTTGCTCGCGGCGTCAGGGCGCGCTCCATCCGTGTGCGAAGTGATCAGTCGAATGGCCATGCAGGCAGGGCTTTGTGATTCCAGACGGGGATAATCATTCACCGACTGCGTTCGTGTACTACACGGGTGTATCACCACTGCCGCCGTGTTTCTTGCATCATGTGGGACCGCTGCTAGTGGTTTCCTTCATTGTTTGATGGGATCGGTGCTCTCTTCATTGCATTGCTGGCTTTACGCCTTTCCTTTCACGCAGTTGCAGTGGAGAGTTGCGAGATGGCAACAGATGTGTGCAAGGCATCATGTCGTGCTGTGCTTCATTTTGCCGACGCTACAGGTGTGAAAAAAATGTGAGTGTGCTCCGAAGCTGCATGGTCATTGGCATTGCAGGGAAGTCGTCGGGTGCTGCTTGAAATCTGCTGTGAATAGTTTTGGGAAAAAAGCCTTTATGCCGTGCTGAGTTCGGGAAATAAATAGGTCTTTAGCTGGCGAGGTTTGGCGGGGCCTGCGAGGGGACCCTTGCCATTGCAGATTTCGACGACGATGGCTTGGTGCCAATCATCCAGGATGGTAGCTGTGAGGAAGCACTGATTGAAAACTCTGCGGAGTGCCTCCAAGTTGTGCTCGTCGAGGTGCTCGTCGAGCCAGCGTCAGGTTTCGGCGGACTTTGCGCAAGTTCTGGATCTGCAATGGCATCAAAGATATCTTCCTCAGAGGTAAAGAAGAATGCCAAATCACTCGTTGTCTCAATGCCATGCTCGCTCAAGAATTGCAGGCTAACAGAAGAAAGGACAGCCTGAATCACCATGGCTCAGGATCTACCCGCAACCAGCAAACAAGAATCTGAGGTGCAATGCCTCTGAAACCCAATGCTTCCAGGCTCAATGCCTCCGCCCGAATGCCTTCACGAAGCCTGCTCAAGTGTGATGATCATGATTATCCATGCAGTCGACCCTTCCCAACCAACCAGCTAGACCGCAGATGCAGCACAGCTGAAACTTGTCGGGTCCGTGCAGACAAGTCAAACAACGTGCATGGAAAGTGAAACCTGCGTTTGTGCCTCCGAAGCCAACGTTAGTTGTTCATTCCACCCGTGTTTCGGCTACCGGTGCTCGCCTGAGTCTGATCTCGCCGTTCAGAAACTGGCAGGTGTCTGGCCGCATAATAGTTTCGTTCGGAATGTGTGCCAGGTGCTCCGTCGCCCCTCGAGTGTTTAAACCCAATGCATGTAGTTCGAGCGTGGGGAAACACACTGGGCTTCAGGCAATGTTGGCTGCTTGGCAGGATGGTGCGTTATATCGCATGCATTTGATTGGCATGTCAATATTTCTGAAAAACAGCTGTCCATTATCTCATCATATCTCATCAGCGGGCCTATCACATGCATTGCCGGGCCCCAAGTGCTTGCGTCACAATGCCTCGCAGAAGACACGATAGAATCTAGACGCAAACAACAATGATAAATGCGTAGGGGGCATTTCGAAGGAGCGACTCATCCAGCATGACTTGAAGACAAGACGGCAAGAAAGAGCTGATCAAAATCTCAGCAAACAACATCAAACAACGTGATCGATCATAAAGCAAAACGACACATCAACTGCTGGCCGGCACGACACTTCAGAACGTGCGTTCCGAACGTGCGTAGATTGAGGTTTAGACACTCGCAGGGAACCCTTCGCCGCGGGGTCAGGAATTAGGCATGATTCCAAAACATAAAACCAATGATACCTTGCATGATGGGGGATGAGGATCGTGCTGCAGCACTCGCTGCGTTCACCAAAGACTGCGAAAAAGTCGGTCACTGTTTAGACAGTTCAAGGAGAGCGATGATTCGCTTGTTAAAGGGTTCCGATTCGAACAACGGTAATTGTCGCAGGAGGTCCAACATTTACTTGATACATATCTCACGGGCTTGCGGATCTGGCAGGACTGCAAGTCCTACTCTTTGCGAATTCCTGCGTTCCAATCCAAACTCTCAATGTCAACGGAGCCCGATATCAGGAAACTTTGGACAATGCAAGGCTCATGTGCGTTGCCAACAAGCAGTCCGCGCTCTTCTCCAAGGCAATGTTCAATGGTATGGAAGTGTAATAGCCGTCCACCCCTTCCAGAGTCAAGTGAAGCTCCTGAATGGCTTCTGCAGAGAGTGTACTCAATGACGGAAACAAAGTGCCTGGGAGCATCCGGCCGGTGATGGATGGTCCATGCTGTAAAATCTTTAAAGAAATACCGACATTATGATGGAGTGCAACCAGAATGACACAGTTGCTTCCAAGGTTCCCAGAACATCATCCAGCCGATAGCCGGACCATGATGCATTTCCAAGCATCCTGATTTTGCTCTGTAGGATCGAGGTGAAACCCTGAACGAAACAAGCTGTTTCCCGGTTTTCCAACTCGAAGCTGGTCGGTGCAACGTAGACGCCAAGGTCCCAGCACAAAACCAACTAAACAATGCAAGCGGCCCTGCGCCAATGTATTCACTGTCTCCGCCCACGAAGCCACTGGTGCCATGACCATTTGCGTTGATGTTGTCAGCTGCCCTTCCACAAAAGGCACTCAAGCGAGAAACCCAAACGTCCACACTTGCCAATTACGGTCACGTACGTGCACGCAGCGCAGATTTGACCGCGTGCCAGTACCTCTCGTGGTCTCATGCACATGAGGAGCGCTGAATGAGTGTCATCATTGGCTCTCTTGCATGGTCGGCTTGAATCCACAACTCTAACGCGTCCACAAGCCTTGCAACTTAGCGGATTGACTTATTGGACAAGCAGGACACACCATGCACCCTTCGATTCATGCCCGCCGATCCGAACAAATCCAGAAGCCCCAGACCCCGGCGGATCCTGGCGGTGTTGGCCAGATGTAAGGTTCAGAATTAAAGTCTCCCCGTCGCCATGTGCCTGTTTCCAGTGCATTGGAGGATGGAAGTGATCCGGTGGCGCGGAAAGCGCCCTTCAAGCTGGCCCAGGGTTAGATCCAGCTCCTCCTACAATCAGTGCCAACCACGATCTTTACAAGCACAGTTGACAATCTTCTCACGAAACATTTTTCGCAGAAAGTTGCCTCCTGCTGCGACACGAAGGTGATCATATGATCTGTAGACGTCTCAATGGCTGGTACGGGCGCATGATTTCGAACATAGAGCTTGCCTTTCCTGTAGGCCGATGTGTGAGCAATGACAGTTGAAACAGCTCGGCCGCTGCTGGACGGCAAGACTCACGACGAGTGGCGGAGTCAAAAACTCTGCCGAGAGCTCCGAAACGCACGTTTCCGTCTGAAACGGCAGCTCGCCTGAGCTGTATGGCATGGAGAGTCAAATATGCCCTATGCATCCTTCCTGCCTCTCCGTGCTGGGTTCTCCCCAGTCAAGACCCCATTCATGGATCTGAGAACCCACGATGCATCGACAGCTAAATGTCTCGGACTCGTCTGGGCAGCTTCTGTCAGCTCAACCACGAAGCTACCGGCTTGGTGATGCCCGCTCCGCCGAACTAGGTTTGGCAAAATTGTTTGCGCTGTGGTCGGTGCCGTTGTCGGGCAAACAGTGCAATTTTGCAATTTGTTGAGGGCAATGTGGAAGCATGTGGCCTTTGCGACTTTGTGCGCATGATACCTGCAAGGGGTGGACAGCTGAAACATTGGGAGCCACCGTACGATAAGCGTGAGGAGGATCCATGAGGACTTGAGGTAGGCACACGCAAAGCTGTATTAGCATCATGTGCACCGCTAGCAACTTCGCCGCGCACATGAAGCGCCTTTAGAACCCGTGATAATTCATGGAATGTTTTTCGACTTGACATAATGACAGGCACTGAGAATGGCCCCCGTGCGGCGAGACTCTTCACGACCCGGTGCCGTTTGCTCCGGCTCCCAAGCTCCTCGGCCATAGCGCTCATGGTCCTCGAAGTCTTGAAATTTCACTTGGTCTTACACATGCTCCTCCGGTCCTCCTCTTCTTCGTAGTCGAGGAGACGCCCCACACGCAAGGCTTCCAATGCTGCAGCCACATCAAGGGAAAGGTGGTGCTGGGCCCAATACTTCCACCTGAGATGTGCAGTTTGATGCATTTCAACGCCCCTCTAACCCCCGAAGTTCACCCGGACTTTGCACCCAGTCCAAATGTCGGGACGAACGAGAAACCCCAGAAATTGAAACATGTCCCGAGCGGACTCTTCTCGCACAGTCAAGCAAATGCCTTGATCCGGAGACTGTCCGACCGTCAGTCCAGGTGGCCATTCGTCGACCGGTCCACCGGCCGCCTGCAGGATCAACTTCCCACCAGGATGCTTCTCCAGATACTCAGTGACATCATACACCCCGTCACGGTACGTCACCCACACCTGTCGGCATGGCTTTGCGAAGCCACTAGACCGTGTACTGAACCCAAGCTCGATTGGGAAGTGTGTTGGAGAAAAGCCAATGCTATGTCCAGACACTGAGCCGTTTCGGCCATCATGTTGCTGCACGTCCTGTACGCATGCGAACAGTACAAGACGACGATGAAAGGGGCAGCCCTGGGTCCTTGCGACAGTAGACCGGCTCTGACTTGTTCCCAGCAGTGCCCGGCCAACGCCTGTCTGAATGATTCGAAACACTCATGATGGACAGCTTCTGTGGTCTGTGGCGCGTGGTGGGTTCAGAAAGTGGACGTGTGAGGCAACACAAACACACACAGCCACCGAGAGTCCGGGTAGGCTCTGCAAACCCATTGTATTATCCTCTTGTTCAGGACGGTCTTGTAGGCTGCTGGACAATCGCGGTGTCGGATTGCAAGCACGATGCAGCTTCAAAAAACACCATGGATATACGTATGGCACCAGGTTTAAGCGAGCTCAGGCGACGCCGTGTACCATCTGTACACCTTACTACATCTAACACACTAGGCACCGCTGTCATTATATTTCTTATAAACCAAAGCGCAACGGGCTCGGACTGGCAGTGCTTGTATCAAGTGCTTTTGAACAGCCAGAAATCTGTTGTCAGTCCGCGGTACCATCTGTCTCTCCCGCCCAGTTGCATCATGGCACAAACAAACCACCGAATGCCTCTGCACTTGTTGAAGCATGGCCCGCAAACATGCTTCGATCTGAGAAGAGGCACGGCGCGACAAGAGGTCGGGCGTCGCTGGACCAGTTATACCTCAGTAACAGCAAACGACAAGGAACAAAGACAAAATCAAATCACACCCCCAAGATCCCCCAAGTAGGTAATCCGCCGAGGCCAGAGGTCATTTTACCTGATTTATCGGCCTCCCGCCCCCTCCCAGGCCTCCCCCCCCTCTTCTCGCCCCCCTCTCCCCCTTCGCCCCCCCCCCCCACTCCCCCCCTCCCCCCCCCCCCTCCCCCCCCCCTCCCCCCCCATCCCCTCCCCGCCCTGTATCCGTTCTCCTCGCACTTCGTATCAACAACCGTGTAAAGGTTGGGGTTTGACAGGCCGCCCTAGCATAAAAAAACATCGACGGCCCCTCGCCCTCTCGCTACACAGCCGAGGCGGGCGGCGTAGCGTTAAAATTATTCAGACCACCGCTGAGGTTGTACGAGAAAGGCTGACAAGGCTGTCGCATACGTTGGAGCAGCGCTGCAGGTCATTGCACCAACTGCGAAGACATTCTGTCCAAGCAAATAAGTGTATTGTGATCGTATTTCCGATCGGGTGGGCTTGTCCTCAACACTTCAGTGGTACTGCGAGGCAGGCTGCCCTTGATGCCATCCATCGCATGATGCCACGTTCCGTCGCACCTTCAGCTTGTTTCATTGCCAAAGCCGGGGACATGCATGTTATGCAGACGCATGGTCCGCGTGTGTGCAATCCTAGCCCTCGTGACGTCAATTACCACTGACATTGACTTAACTCCCCTTAGCTTTTGGCATCCTGAACCCAATGTCCAATGACACTCTGCAGTTGCTCGACCACAGGAACCAAGGCGTGTTCAAGCTCCGTAAACTCCTGGTCTTCTTGCGGGAGGGAACGTGGAAGGCTGCAAGGGCAGCGCAGCCGGCCGCTCGGATATGGTGACATCGGACCATGCAGACCCAACTACGCAAAGTCCTGCACTGCGGCTGGAGTCGATTAATGCTCTCTTGCGGAGCCGCGAAGGGGGCTGCGTTGGAGAGATAGGATGGGCCTTGTGCCAGCAGGCACAGAAAGAGCCTGTTTCCAAAGCCCCAAACACAAAGAGAGCACTTCTTCGGGATCGGTGCAAAGACATCATGCTTTGACGGCAAGATCTGGGACACCGGCAGCGGGTGCGCTGCTTGTGTGCAGCCTTGCTTGTCACTCAGGGCCCAACAGATACGAACATACCGGACCACAAGCAACACTGCCTTGCAATGATAGGATCTGATCGGCTGAATTCTGCTTCTGGTTCTCAGATATGGACTGGGCTTGCGTCTGCATGTACCTCGCCTGTCAGGGATCCCAACATATCCCAACGCTGTTCCCAACAGGAAGAAGATGGCTTCTCGGTGTGCGAAATTCGCAGAATCGCAGGGCCGCTGCCTGCTGAGCAGCCAGCTCTTCCTGGTGCTGCTGCCGCTGCACCTCGGAAGCCCATTTTACATCGGCCAGTTGCAAACATGCAATGTTGTGCCGGTCTCTTAGCAAACGCAGATGTCCACTTTTCCGACGAAATTAACGAGCGCAAACTTCATCAACTAAAATTTGCGATGGAGCGGCGACGCTCACCTGCAAGTACTTTGGCCGCCACGGTTGCCGATGCGGCAGCATCGATGTCGCCACGAATACTGTTTTGCATTCGATCAACATTGCTCTAGGTAGACATATTTTGGAATTTCCCGCAATCTGTAGCTGATAATTTGGGACAAACAGAGATTTTCGGGCCTCGGATTGAAACCTTTGCTTTGGATCTTTTGGTAAATTCAATGTTGGCCTAGAAGCGGAACTCGGAACTCTAGTCACTGGTCATCCACGGATATTGAATCACGTTTCGCATCGGTGGTGGTCGCGTCCTCCCATCGCAAACGAACGCCGCAAGACCTTACTGGTCCTAAGTTTGTCTGAAAAGCCCCTACAAGCGGCGAACTCAAGGTCGCCTATGATTGTGACCGCTGATGGCGTGGAATCATTGGGAATGATCAAAACTTTTTTTCCTGTGAGAAACCTGTGAGAAAGCTGTGAGCGGGTTCTGTGCGAAACTGTGAGACATGAAATGAGGTTGCTCGGGGTCTGTGAGAAACGCTGTGAAAGACATGCGAGAAACCTGTGAGAAACCTGTGAGAAACTTGCGAGAAACTTGCGAGAAACCTGTGAGAAACCTGTGAGGGAGGGGATTCACCGGCCGGACCCAAACCCCAGTTGCTCACAGGTTTCTCACAGGTTTCTCACAGCTTTCTCAAAGGCTCCTCTCGGTTGTCACAGGATTCTCACAGGCTTCTCTCACAGGTGTCTTCTCCACTCCCAGACCCCACTCACGGGTTTCTCACAAGATTCTCACAGAAATACATATTTATTCCACTCATGTCATTCCAAGACCCGGCGGTCACAAGCCTATAATCTTCTTAGCTCTGGCTGCCAAAACATCCAACGGTAACCCGAGTCTGATCCAACTGGCTTCCGGAACATCCTCAAATCGCCTTAGTGGGTATTCGTTCGTGGCGGTGAGAAAAGCCTTGTCGGTTATGCCAAGTACCATGTGCGGCCACGAGACAATTCAATGGCCTCGAAGGCATCGAAGCTTCCGGGGCGCAGATCGCTGATCATCCCTGGAGCCCACCATTTCCCGAACCTGTTCAGGTTTCGAGATATCGGGGGGCTTGTAGCGAAGATCACCTCGATGCAGTGGACGCTCCGGTAGGCACACTTTGATCACGTACAAAGGGAAACCCCCTCAAGTTGACTGTCCCGATACTCGACATACATGTTCTCACAATCTGACGAACATCGTACCATCTGACCCAGGTCGCGTCATCGAGGTACCGGTGAGAGAAGTAACCGATCTGAACATGTTCAATGGTTTCGTGGTGTAACATCGGTTGTTCTCTGGCCCCCCGGACACAATGGGCAGTCGCGTTTCGGCCCAAGCATGCGGGCCTTCGAAGCTGTTTGATGTTGAGTCGGGGTTAAACTTCTGATGTTCGAGAGGCCCTCGACGCAAAGGAGTCTTTCAATTTCGTCGCCCCGCGTCCCGTCTCGACCGCTCATGTCATATTTATGCTCGAAGGGCTCCTTGTTGTTTAGGGTCCCGTCGAAAAGTTTTTGGGGGCGCTCGGCCGTCGGGAGAAGGTCGGGGCGGCACTGCCGCTTGGTCGTGTAGTTGTGGTGGAGTGGATGATCTGTCGCATGTTGTCCTCGCGGTCTGTTCGAAGTACGGGAGGACTTGGTCATTCGCCTAAAAGGCAAGCTCGACAGGAGGTCATATCGGAGCCAAGGTCTCAGAATCCGGCCATGATCTGTTTCAACTTCGAGATCAGGCGTCATCGTCCTCGCGTCCCCACTCCGTCAGGCACAACTAATATTCGGTGTCATCGTGGCGCGCAACCTGGGCCGTCGAGGGCCGAGGGAAACCGGCAGAGGCCGTTGGATGTGTGACAAGGGCGCCTTCTGAGCCGGTGCAAACTTCGGAGCGTTGAGGGCCTCGAATTCGACCTTGGCGTACCATCCGTTCTCCCGGTCCTCGTCGCGGTCTCCGAGGTCTCGCTCTGTCAAAGTTGTCGTAGTTCTCGTTTCGCAAGGCCCCCCTTTGGCCCAAAATCGCGGGGCAGCAAGTCGCACATTGGTAGCAACAGCGATAGCGAGTTGAGGGTCGAGGCCTTGTCGTGGGAGATGTACATACTTGACGTCATCGACGATTCTGTCGGCTTGTTTGGCCTGTTCCTGGTCGATCCGCCTGACCATCGTTATTGGTCGAGGCAGCCCTCGTCATCGACGTCTTGGCCCGAGACCTGCCGGTAGCATATGTGCCTCGGAGTCGCTGCGGGGAACTGGGCTCGAAGCCTCCCCAATCCGCTCGGACGCCGAGCGGACATGACCTCGACGGCTCGTTGGGCGGCGTCGTCGTCCTAATATCGGCATTGCTGTCTCGCCGAACGACCTTCCTCGGAGTCCGGATCGATGCCAGCCAACATCCTGGCAATCGGAGCTGCGCCGTTTCTCGACGGCTCCCAAAATTGCTCGATGGCATCAGCTGTGTAGCCGTGTACTGTTCGAGTGTATCCGGACATCGCGATAACTCGCTCGGAGATCTCGGATATCTGAATATCGCGTACAGCCAAACAGTCTCCAAGGAGAAAGTAGGCTCCGATACCTGTCATACAAGTGGAGCCTAACAAGCACTCGAATGCAACGTGCTAACTGACGATCTTGCTTGACAGGTGACTATGTTATATCTGGTGTCTCAGCGAGGGAGGCTAAAATCGATGCTTCTCCAATTTCACGGGAGTCTGTCGTTGTGTCGTGCCAAGGCACTGCACATCGCCCAGGCGGCAGCGGTGCCCCAGAAAAACGTGTCGAAGACAACCGACACCGCGTCCATCCAGAAAGGTTAGTGCAATCAAGGCCCCGTACATTGCCTAGGCGGCAACGGGCCCCTCTCGTGCCTATCGAGAAACACTACCGGGTGTGCAGTAGCTGATACCGATCTCAGTTGGAATCACGGATGGTCACACCCCACGCCGGAAGTAGAAGGTCGGGGGCTCGGCGACGAGGATCGCTGCCATCTCGGGCTGCTGCAATCCAAGATCGCTTTGGCGTGGTCTCGAAGAAAGTTGGCCGACATCACGAAATGTCGCTGCACCGATAGGTGGTAAACGTCGTCGGAAAGGATGCACCATTGCCGAAGTCGGGAAAATCTGTCGGTGACGCTCGAGTGAAGAAGTGACTGCCATTTTGATTTCAGCAGGTTTGCGGGTAATCGCAGACACCGCGAATCCACTTATGGCAAATCAGAACAGGCACGACCCAATGGTCGTTGATTAAAATTCGGGGGTGGAAGCAAGGGCACTTCGTGCGGTTATTGCTCGAAAGGTATCTCGGGCAGATCGTAGATGCAAGCAAGGTCCTCATATTATGGGACCACTTTGTCAGACTGCACCACCTCGGGAAAAGCCTCGAGCATCGATCGCGGAACCGGGGCGTCGAAGACTTCGACAGACCCGCGACACAGGAAAGCATCCATGAATTCGCGCGGTCGGCCATGGGGCAGTCGGAGAAGAAAAGCTTTAGAAGCGAATCTTGAGCCAAAATGGCTACGGATGCAATGAAACAATATTGATATGAAACATTTGCGATACTGCCGAAAGCCACCGCATCCTTCCCGTTTTGGCTGAGGTTGTGCACAGCGTGCTGCTGCTGGAGGCTGGTTTGCCTGGCACAGGACCAAATGAAATCGAGTGCTTGACGTCCGGGACCATCTGGGAATCTGGGCAGTTCGATGCTGGGCTTGCAATCCGTAGCAGCAGTAGCACTGGGAAATTGAGCTGTAAGGCCGACAGCAGTCTGCAATCTTTCATCTTGGACGAAGTCAGCTCTCGAAACACAGGACGGGCCGCTGCTGGTGGTGATCCTGCAACTCCTGCATGCTCGCAACTCTCAAGAGCAGCCTACACTTTCCTCTCGTGATTCAGAAAGAAACGATATAGTTTGAAACCAGCCCAAGACCACCTCCCGTTTCCTCTGATCTGCAGGAAACACTTAGATCACTTAGGACGTGCTCGGTATGAATGACCATGGCTGGATGAGTCGGATGAGAGTGGCCGATCCAGAACCCAACAGTTGCGATCGACTGTGGCACATGAAACCAAGAGACTTTGAGAAGACTCTTCCAACCTTTCCGTTGTCAGGCTCCCAAGGACCTCGTAGCGAAAGCAAACATTGATCCAGCTCTCCCTTCGAAGTAAACGGCCGTCCAAACCGGAAAGCAGGGAAATCAAGTGAGATGAGCCTCGTGACATTCCTGATTTCGTGCGGGCAGAACGGCAAGCACAGCATCCACCAGTCTAGCACACGACCGCAAGGGGAGGGGTTCAAGGATGTGGCCAAAGCTCAACAAACCACGGGCACGAGCATGTTTCAGTCACAAGTTCTGCTATGACTCTTCTTCCTGCAAACATTCCCAAAGCTACCCTAGCATCCTCCTCTACGACTGTAGTGCCGTTGCAGTGACTCAGTACAGATACAAACGTCCAAACAGTGTAAAGACCCTCACTGCAGCCAGACCTCCGCCTCAGAGCAGTTTCAGATTGGCTTTACTGAACGCAACCTCCCCTGAATAGGTTGGAACACCGTTCGCATCAGATCTCGTCGAGCATGCAACGGCCCCATCGTTACCCGGAGTAGCTTACCATCTGTGGCACTGTGGATTTCCTTGGCACCAGAACTTGCGGCTTCTTGTTCAATCCCGAAACGTTTCGGCCTCAGAACTTCGGAAAATCCAGGCAAAAGTCTGATGCGTCCTCTTCCCTAGCCCAGCCGCCAACAGTAGAATCTAAAGACCCACTGCACCACTCGGGCAAATCCGACGCCATCCGAAGCCCCTTTCCCGTCAGTCCATATGCATCCGCCGCTGCATCTCCTGCATTTCGCGCTGCATTTCCGCCTGTCCATGGCCGCGGGCATCACCCGGCATATCAGGTATGCTGGCGGATGCTGCTCACTCGCAATGTCCTGGCTTCGGTTCTAGACATGGAAAAGAGAAAGCCCCTCCCCGCTTGCCGTACGCCTGCTTTTTAAGAAGCTCTTCGTGCATCTTGCGCTGCTGGTACTCCATGGCTAGGGAGCTGGCCTGAAAAGCTTGGAACACACCGCAAGCACTTGCCACGCGCAAGCTAACCTAATCAGTGACCAGCTGCAACAGGACTTTCTGGACATGGTCTGGAAGTCCTATGTAACTTCTGAGGTTCATGCCTGCTGTTCCAGTGCCGCCTTCTGCTTCAGAAACGCCTGTCTGGAACAAGTTCATCGTACTGAGCAGTACACCCTAAGATCTTTGAACACTCTTTTTGATTGCCTCTGCGTGCTTCTGCTTTCAAAACTTCGGTACATCCCAGTCGACCTGCTGCAGTTCCATCTGCTGCTGCTGCCACTGGTGGTCTAGGCCTCCGTTCTTCAAAGGACATCTAATGTCCGAGAAAACGCGAGACTCTTGCCGAAAGCGAAACCTCCGGGGTTTCCGAGAACTGGGCTGAGCTCTTGTTGCCGAATCGACTGATCGACCTGGGCCTGCACACGCAGTGGACACTGTAGCCCATGTGCAGAGGTTGAGACACTATTTGTGAGCTGGGAACTCGGGTTCTGGGCCCTGCTTGCGGTTCAGAAGCTGTGCCTTGTACATCGCCAGCTGCTGCTCTGCCGCAGCCTTAATTGCTGCCTTCTGCCTGGCCCGGCTTTGGAGCTCGCTTCGGACAGTTGTGGCGAAGGCTTCATCATGTAAACTTGGCAAGCAGGACTGCTTCAGCTGCTCTTCTGCCAGTTTCCGTGTCCTCGGAGGGGGTAAAGATATCTGGCTATACAGCAACACTTCTGCTCTCTCTCTTTTTGATGCGAGTCGAGATAAACAACTCTTCCGAGAGTCTCGAGGCTCTCTCTGGGCCCTGCGCTTCGGCCAGCTGAGCGGCTGAGCAGCGGCTGAGCCAAGCTCTCATCAAAAACGGTTTCCAACTGCTCTCAGCTGTTTCAGCAAAACCGAACCCACAACGAGAACCGACCCTCTCTCTGTCGTCACTTCAACTTCACTGGCGCTTCGTTCTGGGATGTGGACTGCTCCAGCTCCGCGTCTAGCCCGCGCTCGTAAGCACGCTTCTGCCTCGAATCGTGTAGGAATCGAGGGAGCGTTGTGCGGGCTGTGCAGCTGAGGTGCACTGGGCAATATCAGAATCAAACAGGCAGCCAAAGCATCGCAAAGCCACACGGATGCAACGTGTGCATGCAATGCTCAAGTGCTTCTCCAAAAAGGACAGAATCCTGAGTTTGAGCATGACGAGAAGTTTAGTATCGTCGAAGCGCACCAAGCCTACTCAGCTGCCACTCGGCCAGACCAGCTTCATCAGACGATGGGCTCATCCCGAAACAAAAAACTGCCGCAACGTCTTCCCTCTGGGTGACCACGCTGCTCAATGGATTCTGGGTCCGGTATGCCGTCTGTGAGGTTCACAGACCTGACAGTCATACAATGCGTCCGATACCCTGCCGTGAAATCACGGTGGCGGCCCAGAGAAAGAGGTCGCAGCAAAGAGTACTGCAGCAAAGGACTATAATCAATGATTTGCATCACCAGCAGGACGACAATCGTCAGCCATACCACTGCACACTGGCAGCAAAGCATGAAAACTTGAGAGGGCTGCACGGAAGCTTTGGCGGGTGCGATGGGCAGCATGCCCAAAGCTGTCGTCACATGCAGACTTCCTGTCTACGCCTGTCATGTACCTTCCTTGGACTTGAAGCATGCACACAGAGTTACTCTAGCGCCAAACAATGCGCAGCCTGCCGCACAGTTCCGCGAATCCACCATGGTCGACCGAGCTTGCGTGAGCATTGATTCAAAATTAAAAACCTAAACCTCTCCGCAAACGATATCAGCTATCAACTCTGAATCACCGATTTCAGTCGCTTCTGAAGCAGTGGGTCAAGGGCCGCCGCATGGCTGCATACGGTGCGTAAAGATGGACTTCAGTATCCCTCAAGGCTGTTGCCACTTTGATTCTATTGCTCCGACTGCATTCCCACCGGAGCTGAATCTGCACGACAAAATTTGTTTCTGGACCTGTCCACTTGGATTCCTGCGGGCATACCGTCAATGTGGCCTGCTCGAGTTGTTTAATGAGCGAACTTGTGGCCTTTTCCGATTCTTCGCCACAGCAAGACATTCATGAGTCTGAGGATCACTCCTTACTGGGCGATCCATGATCCTGTGAGTGTTAGAGGAGTTTGGAGTGTTTCGAGCTGAAGCCAGCTCCTTGAAATCACTGGACCTGTGTGTTTCAACAGAAACGTGGTTTCATTAAAATCTTTAAGGGCAGCCAGTTGCACAGTGCGGAAGGGCGGTCGCAGCTGAAGAACGGATGCGGCATGAAAGTTCTAGAGTTGTCTCCGAAGCCAGATGACCCTGATCTTTCCAGACACGTCGACAAGCGCTTCACGTCGGTTCCGACGAGCATCGAGGAGTGGCCGGCTTGGACCGGCCCCAAGTAGATGGAGAGCCATGCGATTTTGAAGTATCACTGTGTCCACACCAGTTACAGTCGGCCGACCTTTCGGTGGAAACTCCGTGGCCCCAGAGGGGCTTCTACCCTGGGAGCGTTCCCTTCACGCAGCTTGAAGATCAGAATCTCCGAGCAGATCTACTTGGGCTCGTGAAGAGCAGTTACCCCTCCCCTCCATGTTGATCGATAACTGCAAAACGAGATCTAGCAGAATCTAGCAAGAAGTCACACAAATGCCACATGCCACTACCGACCTGTGCCCAATCGAACAACCCCATTCAGAGTTGCTTCAACGACTTGCAGTCGCATTGGTTTCTGCTCTTACGCGAAAGTCGAACTTAACGCAAACGTACAGATTTCACCGGCACAAGCTTACCTGCTCTGCCAAAGAATCCTGATGTCATGCTACTCCGTGAGACGTACTAGTCCCGACGGTGCTGCGTGCGGCTTAGCAGCGCAGCTCCCGGGTGTGCAACCACTGGAGGCGCATAGGACCTATGAGCGGTGCTGCAAGCAAACTGCAGTCCCAAGATGTCCCAACCGTGTTCCATGCTGACGATGATTCAGACTTTCCCTGTGTGTTCAGGGATGCATGTAAAGGCAGGGATCCGGTCACAGATGCGACCAAGGCCCGAGCCCTGTCGAAACCACCTGCAAATAAAATACTTGCAGAACGTCACAAGGAATTGCAGTGCAGCTGCTCTCAGGGTTTCCATCAATCTTCGCTCCTCGCTCTGTTGGCTCTCACATTGCTCTCGCCCTGCCTGCGGCATGGGCGCGGAAGGAACGAAGGAACTCAGACGCAGTTATGAAGTCAAGAGCAGTAGACAGACGACTTCGCTGCCTATGCTGCGCATACCTCTGCTTCAGTGCGTGGCCCGTTCCCACTGCCTGCGTAAACAGGACGCCTCAGTTGCTGTTGCAACTCCAGCTCCTGACCAATCTTGCTGATCTGCTTTGGTCGACAGCGGGCAAAGCGAGTCCTTCGCGCTAGCCTATGCAACTCCACGCAGGTCTACCGAGGCCAGCAAGAATTGGCTGAGGGGAAGGCATCGTACTCGCAGTAACCTCGAGCTTCTGCCCATGCCAGGAAAAAACACAAAGCACAACTTTCGTTGGAGAGACACGGCCCAGGGCTGCCGGGGCTTGGGCAGTGCATGGCGCTGCCGTGTGTACAGCTGTGGCTGCGGCCATCGCAGAAAACCGCCCTGCGCCAATAATTCGTCTACAATCTTCTAGCTACACCTTGAACCAATCTGTTGGTCGACATGCGGTTGGATGCACAAGCAGCAAACAACAAGAAGTTCAGAAAATCTGCGGGCAGCGGGCAAACATCAATCTCCTCAGCGAAAACCCTGCAAACTGCGACCTCGGTCACTTGATGGCGTTCTTCTGGTCTCAACTCAGAGACGACCTTTGCCGAAGGGGAATGGATGAATTTCTGCTTAGAGGCATCTTTGAGCAGACCTTCGTCGAGAAGACTTAGGCCTTATATTTCATGAAGTAGCACAGAAGGTGCAATGCTGATTGCAATTCTGGGGCATTCCGCAGCCGACAAGATCACTAGCATGGGGTATGCTGAATCTCCAAGCTGCACAAGAGCCAGACCAACCTGATCCGTCACAATTCCAACTTGTTGCATGAGCGATATAGCCATCTCCTAGACTGCAAACTCAAACGAAGTTCCAAAAGCTCATGCAAAATTTATAGCAGCCGACCTAATCTCGTGTTACAATCTTCCAGCAGCTTAGCAAAAAAAACAAACATTTACGAAGCCACCGGGATCTCATCAAGCCGCGCACTTTTACCAGATGAATTGCCTGAACTACTTTTGGTTAGATCTTTGTGTGTAACGCTGAATACCCTCCACTGTCCCTGTTATGTCCCGGCAACTATCGTGGCATTCCGTAAACAAGCGCACGAACTTCCTGCTTCTTGAGATGTAAGCTGTCCGACGTCTTGCCACAATACTTCTAATCAATCCGGCCCCGGGATTAGGGATCCTAGCCGCTAAACCACTCACGGAGCCTAGCCGCTAGATGGAACCACTCGGCTTGGCTCTGGACCAACGGCCTGATGATTACATGGTGTACCGATACCACGCAACCCCCCCTCCAATGCAACCAGAACAACCGCAACGAAGGCATCTGCACTAATCATAGTAATGATGCCCTTGTTGTCCGGAGCACGGCTCCGGCTTCGCAAGGAGAGTGTGAAAACTACATGGTTGCATGCCTTGGCTGCCGGCCTCCAGAATCTGCTGTGGCTGAACCATTTCTGCTGCATCTTGGCGGGCTTCCTGCCAGCTTGACAGAACTACAGAGGCACGGAAAGGAAGCCAGAGAAATGCCTTCTGGCGCACTCGGAAAAAGCAGGGCCACAACCGCCACATCACGGCGTCTCAAGGGCTCCACAGAGTCGTGGCCTGCGCCAGGATCGCCTTCTCCTGCACGGTTACTGACACAGGCATGCTGCAAGGAGTCCTGACTCGAGGGGAACTTAAGTAGTCCTCCTTCGGCATCTCATGCAGCTTCGCCTCCTTCACGACCGCCATGACGTTCTTCCACACATGCACAGTTTGGGTATGCGGTATGCAGGTGCGTGCAGCAAAAAATTATGAGGCCAGCCGCTCAGGAAGGCTTGATGGTTCACCAACTCGCACAGCCCGTAGGTTGTAAGGACCAAAATCCCCTCCCCCCCCACTCCCCCCTTCCCCTCCTTCCCCCCCACCTTCCCAGCACCGCTTCTCCTGCCACGACTGCTGGCACTACTGCTGCGACTACAACAACAACGACGACGACGACTACTACTACTACTACTTTTTCTGCTACTTCCGCTACTACTTCTCTGCACCGTAAACTTATTTTCACACGTTTGTCGAAGGAGCCCAAGGCCTTGCCCCCGTTGCCCCCTCCCTCCCCTTCCGCCCCCACCCTCCCTTCCCCCTCCCCCGGCTGCCCCTGTACCCCTCCCCCCCTAGGCCTGATTCGGATTAGGGACCTGAATACTAGAGGGGCCTTAATGAGTAGAATAGGGTTTTGCGGTATAGTATACTACAGGGTTAGCATATGGAGCCCCCAAATTAGGACTGCCGTAAATCCCTAAATCACTACACCGCTAAACCCGAAACCCTTAAACCCATAAACCCAAAAAGGCCCCAAAATTAGGGCTGTTTGGCGACTCTTTCAAGATTGCTTTGCAGACTTAGGAACGCATTGCTCTCAAATCGGGCAACGCCCTCGGCCCTGGCTTTAGCCATGGAGCAGAAGCCTATGCCGCCGACCCCTGCATCATGGGACCTTCGTTTCTCCGTCGGGCCGCGCGGGACCTCCTTGGAAGGCGCACCCGGCAACGCACACGTTTTGTGGCCATTCCCCACGGTATGGCGGGTTTTGAAGCTCCAGGGCGGCACTCTTCGAGCATCATGAGCGCGCGCGCGCAGCGGGCCATAAGGCGGAGGCCCGCGGAGGCCGATGATTTTCGGACGTTGGGAAGGGTACCGGAAGGCTTCAAACTGGGCCCGCACGCGCCCCATGATGGTGATGATGCTCACCGGCAGGCCTCAAAGGGGGCTTCCCCGCGCTCGCGCGCAACGACACTGACGGGGAGCGGCAGGGGGAGGGATCAGGCCAAAGGGCGCGCGCCCCCCCTTCATCTTTCCCCTTCGGCCCAGTGGGTGAGTGATTGATGCATGATTGACTGAACGAATGAGTGTGCCCACGCAATGAACAAATCCCTCTTCCCTCGCCCAATGAAAGAGTGAATGGATCAAGGATTGAATTAAGCAATGAGCGCTTGCGCCCTTCATTTCTGCCCCGCCCAATGAATGAGTTACTGGATGAATGATTGAATAAACGAAGGAGCGCGGAAGCTCTGAGTCGAAGGGCGTCTGCGTTGCCCGCCTCTCTTGTAAGGTATGCTACGTCTCATCGGGAAGCTTCAGAGACAGAGATGCACAGCAAGGACTGTAGCATTGTCCACCGTACCTTGGAGCTTCGTACTTAAATCGAGTGGCTGCCCACGGGCCTGCATCAGGGGGGGAACTTCGCCCTCTGCCTGGCCAGGTGATTACAATATGCCACTTTGAGTTGGTTTACAAGGCATTTCAGGTCACTAAGCCTAGCTTGCCGACAGGTGCCGACTTCAAACAACAAAGTCAACAAAAGAGCGCTTGCAACAGGTTGTTCTGACAGAATACCGCGAGGGCCAAGGGCTGGATCTGGCGTGAACACATGCTGCAGCACAAAATGGCCAGGCCGCCGTGGGATGCGGGCCAACCTGGAAGTCAATAACATAATCATAGAATATAAGTTGTTGATGTTCGGTCCGTTTGGTTGTATAATTCACCATCTAAGACACTTAAGTCTCTGCCTTAAGCTGCAAGATAGCGAAAGCTTAATGCTATTTCTGCGTCGCGTGCCCCCCCCGACCTGTGCTGCTGCTGCCGTATTCACCACCAGCCGCAGTGCCTCTGCGAGTCTGCGCAGTGCAGTCAAGTCCAGCTGAAGTGCAACTCCAAACGGGCTCCAACCCGTGCGGGGGCCTCCGCTCGTTGATCTGCCGGCAGCTGTCCGAAGCCAGAGATGGCCGCACGCACCAGTTCCTGGGGCTGAGAGACAAGAACGTGAGATGGTGAGAAGGCGCGCCAGTGCCTGCTTCTCTGCGACGGACGCCGCGTTCAGAGCGCCTGCATGTCGACATGTGGTTGCAGGTAGGCTTGAGAAGAGGTGCTTTCATGATACGTCATCTCTCTGCAGTAGCCTGCCATTTGGAAGATCTGCGATTGCTGTACATTCGTCCCGGGCCGTGCCAGCGACTGCGCCTCGAGAGTGCGAAAAAGCATTCTAACTGGCACTCGCTGTTGCTTTCCAGGGCACGCCCTTTTGGGATGCAGGGCAGATCTTCGTGGTAGGCTTGCCGAAAACGGGCTCAAAGCAGACCTGCTCCACGGCCCAACGAACCACGTCGGGTCCTGGCCGCTTCAGAAGATCCTGCTGCAAGGGAGCTTCTCAAAGGCAGGCGAGCTGTCAAGGGGGAGTCACAGAATTTTCGTTCTAAAGACGGGGGCAGTGCTGTCAGCTAGGCCAAGGCTGCAAAAGAGGACTGCCGAACCCCGTTGCATTCACATGTTAAAACTAAGCTCGTTCAGACTCATTTGGAAAATCTCCGATCCAAGTCAAGCTGGGGAACACATCAGGCCAAACTATGTGCAGGAATCTTTTTTGCAAGACTACACCCGGCTGCGCTAGGGATTTGCAACTCGCCTGGAGCACAGCCAAGCCGGGACCTGGGTCCCTGTCCTGGCGTCAGGATCAATGCAGCTCACAGAGCAGCCGATCCGGGAGCTGCACTCGACTATATCTTGTACGTTGCGCGCAGTCCCGTCCTCCATGTGTCACCTGCTTGAAGCTCGACTCTGCAAGACTGCCAGCACCATCACAGCGATTCTGGACTGGGCATCCAACAACCATGCTCGATGCGAGCTTCAGAGCAAACCCATAAAATAGAAGAAAAGCTACGCAATCATCAGACCCCGCCTGCAGCGCAAAACACCAGATCGACAGGCACTCGCAAGTTGGTGTACGCTGTTTCTGCTTGCTGAGTGTATGCTTGGCTTTACCGTGTCTGCCTTTCAAGTGTCTGCATGGTTCTGAGAGATGGCGGAGCACTGTCGCAAAAACGACACCAAGCAAACTGCCCCCAAAGGGCATTGCACAAAACATTGCTTACCGCCCTGTCGCTGCAGTCCAGCATGGTGCCCTGATGAACTGAAGCATGTGGGACAACGGCAAATTCGGAGTGGGTGCTCGCTCGCTCACACCCTGGCACCCTCAGAAGCATGATTCTGACTTAAATACGGACTCTACTGCATGATGTCTTCAGCAAATAATGCTCCGGCACAAGCTGCGTTCATGAAACTTCTCGCGACTGTTTTTCAGGCCACATGCCTCGTTGCAACTCAGCCCCTACACAATCGCTGGGCAGCGATCTCTCTATTCTAGGATGTAACTGACAGGCAACGTGCGTCGCATTGCCAGATTTGTTGCCACATCCCAAGAAGTCCGTCGAAACTGTGCAGTTAGAGCAGGAACCATGGAAGGCCGTACGCCCATGTACGAACACGCACACACACACACACACACAACCATCCGGAGCGTGGCGGATGTGGCAGGCCGTGACTCTTACCCCCACCCTTCTCAACACCACTACTGAACATGTGTGCCATCATTGTGCCCTCATGGGCATCGGGCATACACCCGTTGAGACCCACAGTGTGGGCAAAGAGAACGAGTCGAAGGTGTCAAAGACTAAGATATCCTGTCAAGCTGGTACCGCTGTCAATCTGCATCTTCCTTCTTCTAAAGAGACACCTAGCATTGCCCCATGTCGGCTAGGACCGTGGGTGCTGAAACCATAGCGCATCTGATCTTCAGAGCGCATACACTGAATGGGCACCTCAAGAGACCTCTTTACATCTAAATGAAAGGCTGGAAGAAGGTGGAAATTGAGCTCAGCAGCAAGACAGAAAGGAAACCCTAGATTTCCACGGACTCGGCCAGCCGGAAAAAAGAGCCGACTTTGTCGGAATGGTGTCGGATTGATGCAAAATCCGACCGGCGGACCCAGCCCAGGAGGCGCACCTAAGTGACACGACTGTCGCGGTGCTTAAATGCAAGAAGAACATAAAATACAAGCGAAAATATCATCTGCGATGCAACTACACGTTGTCCTCTGCCCGGATAGCTGGACTTTTACAACACAGTTCCATCCACCGAACATGCGAGTTGCTAGTGCGCGACATGTGCTCAGTTGCCTGTGGTATTTTGTGTTCTTTTGCGGTTGCCGGCCCGGCCGGTGGGCTTCGACACAGGGGTTGCTTGCGATAGGCACTGCCCGTTTCAAACGCCGAATATCAGAAGCCAGCCGAAATCACAACAACAGCGACGTCTGATAAATACAACTTTGAAACCAATTGAGAAAGCAGGTGTACTTTGCCAATCAAACTTGAATTCAGAAATTCGTCCAACCGCAACCCTTGCCAGTCCCCCACATAGGGCATTCAGAAGGAAATTTGGCCCCGGGCAAAAGCTGCGAAGCTAAGCATGTCTCGAGCCTCCTTGCTCACGCCTGGGCTTGCAGATTCTTCCAAAGGCGGGCCTTGACGCTTTTTGGCGTGGCATGCCTAGTGCTGCAGCAGAAGATTCACCGATCTCAGTATGAATCTTCTACATGACGAGTGTCAGTCAGCACTCTCTTCCTGAGGTCCGTATTCCAATATTCCACTTCTCCCGTCTGGCACTCTGGATCTGGGCTGATCCGAGGAGTTTGCAGCATGCACATGGCTGCCTGTAGACAGATGCCACATAAGCACGAAGCAAGAAGGCTTCAACCTCCCAAGGCCCCGGAACCTTGCTCTGGGGCTCGTGCTGAGCTCCTCGACTTTCTTCCACAGCTCGGCCCTAGGCTTGCCCAGGAGTGCAAAGCGTAGCATTCGAGACTTCACAGGCCAACGAGAGTCAATGACCTTTCCAGTGACTCTGACGCTGAGGGCTTGGCTGCTGCTGCGGAGACAGTTGATCACCGCCCCCACACCGGTGTCCCAGGCGCCGTAGAAACTTCATGACCTTGCGAGGCTGCTCAGGCTGAAGAAGGCACAAAACAAGTTTCCTCGCCATCTCCACACGATGTGTGGGCAATCGCCCGCAGCTGAGTTCACGACAACTGCACCTGAGACCTGTCCCCATGCCCAAGATTCTGGATTCAGGTTGGGGTCAAAGCCTTGGAACTTTTTGACAAAGCAGGCACGCGACCCCAACATCCCCCACGGCAGGCCTGTTGCACCGAACTGGGCACTGCCAAAGCTGACCTGGCACACATCGGGCATGGGCCACATCTTTCATACCGTGTCATTCAAGTTCGAATCCAGCTCCTTACACTACTGCGGTTCTACGTGTCTGTGTTTCTGTCTGTCTCTTTGGGTTTCTGTGCCTCCGTCTGTCTGCGTCGTTTTGTGTGTCTCTCCGTCTCCTTGTCTCTGTAATTATGTCTGTGCGTCAGTGTTTCTGTGTCTATGTGTGTCTGAGTCTCCGGTGTGTCTTCTTGTAGTCTGTAAGAAGCGTGCCTCGTCTTGGGCCGCCGTCTCCCTGCACTCCGATGCCGGCAAGTCACAAATGCACTGCACTCCCCTGCGCCGCACTGCTTGTTGCTTACCTGCCCGGCTTGTCCCGAAGCCTCGCACGAGCCATTTTAGGATACATGAAACTGTCTGCTTGCTCTTTTTCCCCCTTTTGTTGGCGGCTTCCTCTAAAGCATGGCTTTCCGCTCTCCGCCGCGGCGACTTGGGCAGACTTGGGCTCTTGGGCCGTCTCGGCTCGGTGTCTGTGTCTCTGCGTCTGTCTCGAAGTTGTCCGGCTGTCTGCTCTGTGGTCTCTGTGCCTCTGTGGTCTCAGAGTCTCTGTCTCTGCGTCTCTGCCATGTAAGTCAAGCGAGCATCTAGGTACAACACTTGGATGCCGAGTGCATGCCGAGAGCCTGATCTTCTGTACGACCACTGGGTACTCCTCTTGCAGCCCTGTGAGGGTGCACAAAGAGGTTAGCTAAGATTATGCCGAAGTCACCAGTCCAACTTCAACGGCTTAGAGTCCGGCCAGAGTTGCACTTCCGTGTGCGTCGCTTGCCACTGTGGGTCGCAGCCATCTGCCTGGGTGCTTTGGAGCAAGTCTGTCAAGGAGGGTCTCGCGACTGCAGACTCGGGTCGACGAACAGATGTCGGTGACTGCCGTCCAACGCCCTGCTCGCATCTTCTTGATTTTGATCCTTCTTGAGCTTCCGGCGTCAGGAGCGGGACCGTGAGACCCGACTCAGACTTCCCTCGGAACTTGGAACTGGAGCCTTAGGATGGAGCGTGGGCTCTGGGCTCTCATACGGAGCATGTGACTGTGTGTCTGTGTCTCACACACACACACAGACACACAGTCACATGCCCCCATATGCATGAGTTGACTTGCGAAAGCTCTGATCATCTTGCAGAACCACGGTTCTAGGCGAAACAACATCCAAAACACGTGTGGTGGCGATACAATCACCATCTTCAGATGCTGCAGTAGGTCAGTAGGTGCAACTGCAGTGCTAGACCGGTGAAGCGTGCAAGCTCGCGTGATTTGTAGACCTGAGCGCGCGCTGCTCGTACATGCATTCATAGCTGCTTCTTCCTACCATTGATGGAACTCACCTCTGGAGGCGTTAGATGCCAGAAACAAGTACAACAGCGGGGACAATCAAGACAAAGCCAAGATCCCAAAGCGAAGCTTTCGGGCCACAGCTCGTCTTAAAGTATGCCAACATGTGGAGCTTCAAAAGTTCAGTACCGTGACATACAAGTGATGCTGTTGACTTAGGTGAAGCTGGCTCCCTGTCAACGAATACATTCAAGACTTACCCGCATTTGCCGAGCCAACGGCCAAAACAGAAATACCCAGCTTGGGGAACTGCTGCCTCAACGATATGAGCCCCATTCGTAGACTTAGCAGGTATAATACAACTACTGAGAAGCCCAGATTGGAAATCATCACCTAGTACGACCTGTGCCTGATATAAGTTAATACGGGCGTTGCTACAGACATTCAGAGAAGAGAGAGAGGTAGGAGAGAACGAGAGACAGAGAGAGAGAGAGAGAGAGAGAGCCGCAATCGCTCTGGTGTAGTAGTGGCACTTCTTGAAGCATTGCTCAAACATCTATAGCAACACGTACATCATAAACGGAAGCTATGTTACCAACCTTACAGAAGAGGAGGCTGTGACTGCATTTTTGCACATCACTGTTTTTTCAAAGGATTTGTCTGTTTCCAGTCTGTTTGAACACCAGCGTTGTTTTGAACGTTCGATGGGCGCTGCTTTATGCACGCGCGAGTTGGCGTACTTGTGATTATGCGTTTTCGTCGAGTGTTTCTTTTCGTACACGTCCGTCCTTATTTGCCAGCTGTAAGGAACGTCAACCTTGAACACCGGCCCGTCTTGCTTATAAAGGTTGGTTGAAGAACAAGTGCTCTTTCCAATGAGTCCATGCGGCTTGCACTCTCCGCAATATGCAACCCCGTTCCTCCACTCCCTCCCCGCCCCCCGTCCCCCCCTCGCTCCCGCCACCACGAGGTAGACTTTATCCACGTGTCGGATTCATGTGGCTTAAACCAAGACCTGGCTTCAGAAAGTTAAGGTGGTTCTGCTTCTGGGCAACATATGTCTTGCGGAAACAATCGGCCTTGCTTACAAGCAAACCATTTGTCTACAAACACATGCACATAATGCGTGTGTGTCCATACGCCTGCCTTGCTGTGTATACACAAATGCCGTTGCTACATAGCTCACAAGTCCAGTCTCCACGACCGTATTAAA